ATCACAAGAGCAATGGCAGCAACGGTAGCGCCAGTAATGGCCATTCGCACGCACTGCCAAACTTCGATGAGGACGGCCTCATAATACCGCGAAAGCTAATCAACCCATGCGTTGACTCGCACGAGAGGAAGAGTGTCCACAAAGAGATGCTTTGGAACCAAAAAGTGTATGTATTTTGTGAGACAACACTCATGAGCACCGGGAGGACAGATAGTCTCACATCAATACCTTTAGTCTATAACCCCATAACCGCATGAATATAATACCTGTTATTATTAGTCGCAGTTCTTATTGTGAGCTTTCAGTCGGTTTTATCTCAAGTCTAGTATTATGTGTTATTTTTGACTGCGAAAAAACTGGATTCAATTATGAGCTAAACTGTCTATTTTGAGGTGTTTTTTGTGGTCGAGCCATAAGGTTCACATCGATATGAAATTCAATTCACTATTCGAGTCACAAATGTGTGGTTTTTCGCAGTGATTTGCGAAGAGTTCACAAAACATAGACTAACAATGGGTTGAATTTTCTGTATTACTTATCAATCGAAATATCAAATATGGATAGAAAAGGTTTAAAACAACTTTTTGTACTAAAATATTATGAGGTTTATTATGGATAAATATAACATAAGGAAAACCAATTGTTATTATTTGTGTTGAAAAATTGTCTTATTTTTTAATACAAACACACGAATAGGATTCAAATATAATCACAAAATCGATTCAAACAAAAATGCTTTTATTATTTTGAAAACATTTCTAAGGATTTGAGAAATGAATGAATGAATGAATGAATGCATAAAACATTTAAGAAATTCTTATAATAAACAAAATTCAATATAATGGGAGAAATGTTTTTTTTAATAAAAAGTCTAAATTAAGTGTTGATTTGAATGCCTGAAAAAAATTATAACTAATAATAAAAATAAAAACGCGGATAAAATAGGAGATAATTTGCTTCTGTCTATACATTTAATGTTAATACAAAATACACCTTAAAATAGTTTCTTATAAAACATACCTTTTTATTAGATTATAATTATATGCATTACCTTTAGTATTATCATTATGTATATTTAATCAAATTCGTGATCCATTTATAAAAAATGGATTTATACTTGTATTTTTCGTATTTTAATCAGGATTTTATTATCGAGAGAGAGAGAGAGAGAGAGAGAGAGAGAGAGAGAGAATCTATACAGTAGTAACTACTGAGTAGTTGATAGTTATTTAATTTATTTTGTGGATATATTGATGAAATATCCCTGATATGTTATGTTTGAATTGCTATCAATCAAAACCCGACCGAATATAAGACACGGGAATGTCGTGATATGTCAATGATATTAGCATTGCATGCAATCATACCTTAAACCTTAACTGTTTCCTACATTAATACTCCATATAATTTATATTATATCTAACTCTCCATTAATGAAAAACTGAATAAATAATAAGTTTTTGATAGCCGTATTGAAAATAGACTTTTGCATATAGACTGTCTGCTATAAAAAAGGCAAATATCAATGAACTCATCAGTGAAGTAAAGTGAGTGAGGAGTGAGCTATACTTTCCATACAAATCCATTAGAGATAATTCCTATTTTCATTCATTCATGTCATTCATCTCTTCCCTTTTCTATGTCTAAAGTTTTTTGTAATTTACTTGTTTTAAAAACATATTGAGTGGAGAGAGAGAGAGAGAGAGAGAGAGAGAGAGAGACTATTCTAGTCTTGTATTTAAATAACATCTCTTTTCTACTACAAGTCTAATGATGGATATAAAAAATAGACTGATATTATAGAAAATGTTTATTTTATATAACAGTTATAATAAATAACTTAAATACAATATTAATAATAAAATATAGCGTATAGAATTGTATGGTAAACAACAAATATTAGTTTTATAGTTTAGTGCAAAATAAATATTTATCCCGTGTTTTGCTGTGTGACTGAAATGAAAGTTATTTGACTACAAATGCATTAATGAAATAATGCTTTTATCAATCAATCACAACGATATGTCATACAGAAAAAGAAATATAATTTAGTTTTTAATTTTAGGTTTTAATTTAACTTTTAAAAAATGAAAACTTGAGCTGAGTATATTTTGTAAACAGAAAAATAAGCAAATTCTCATTAAAAGTAAACTTTTTCTTGCGCCACACGTAATCATTATAACAATTGTATGATTGATGGCTGGCTAACGATCATTAAAAATAGAGTCACTATTTTGTGCCTCATTTACTCCAAACACCAAAAACACTTTCAAGACTTTCCTTTAATTGTTATGAAAACAAGTCCTCTATTTTTGCCGTATTTTCTCCGTAAGCCTTTACTTATTAAGTATAAAATAAGTATATATTTCAAAATATTCATCAATGTAATTGAGTAGAAAATGAGACAAAATGTTTTCCGAGCAAATTACTAATTATACTTCATTTGAAAGGCTATGTATGTATAGCAGCTCGTAAATATAAATAATGATTATTATGAACTATACGTATATTAGATAATAATCATTAGATTTATAGTTAAAAACGTATTTATTTTGCTATTTTATTGCTGTAGTTGCTATCAAACGATTAAATCTGAGGAAAACTCTTTGAATTTCAATAATTAATTCCGTTTAAAGTGAAACAAAAACAAAATTTCAGAAAATCTATGAATAAATGGTTTCATTGAACTTAACATCCATTGAATATAGAGTACATCCATTTCAACCGATATACCATTAAAATGATTATATTATTTGCTAAAGTATACCGGTATATAATTGATCATAATCTGTAAGGTACAATAATCTATCATAGACTGAATTGCACCGTTAGTTATTTAATATAAAACTTATTATCATATCATTGCTGATCTGAATCCGTAATAATTGTAAACTAATTGTGATTTTAGGGGCAAAAACGTATTGAACTCGAAGAATGAGTTGGAGAAAGAGTTGGCCAAACGAAAGGACAACCAGAAGAAGCGGGAACTGGAGGCCGAAAAGCTGTCCCGTCGGTCGAGTCTGGAGCGCCGGCTGGAGGAACAACAGCTCAAAATACGACAACACGAGGGGAACGGCGATAGCCAGCCGTCGCCGTCGGCGAGCTCTTCGTCGCCCGACAAACAGCCGCTGGAGTCGGAGTTCCTAAAGATATATTCAAAAGTAAAATGTGCCACAAATACAGATAATAATAACGATAACAACAACTGTGTCCTCAAGACGAGCGCCACTCCATCCACACCACCGATGACTGCCTCCAAGACATGAGAATTTCGTTTTTCAAATCTCTTTCTCTCGGATTTTGTTGTTGTTTTACACTTTTGTTTTAGTTTTCACTCAATTTTCAAACGAGTTTTTCATGTGAAGAGACATTTGGTTAGGATTGATATCTCTATTTCTGAAACATATCTATCAATAAGAGCTTAAAAGGATATGTCGTTTGAATGATATATTTAGATGTCATTTGAGTCTTATATTTGAAATAAATTTAAATTTATAAATAATATTTGAAATAAATGTGCAGAAAATCAAAGTTTGCTATGAAATGTAGTACAGTATAAATGACACATAATTTTAGATACATTTTCATTAAAATCTATTGATAATAAAAACATTGATATAGAAAACAAATTAAAACAAATTATTTACAATAAAATTAATATATATTTTGTATATAAATAAAGTAGAAACAAAAATTTTTCAAAAATCATGTCTAAGAATAAGGAAAAAACTAAGAAAATAATTTTAATTATGTGTTAGACTTAATATCCCGGTTCTCATTACACGACACAAAAAGTTTAACAATCGATTGATACATACAATATAGCAAATTATATACCATTTGTATGATTGTTATTAGAAAACAATAATTTCTACATTTTTGGTGCCATTTCTTTGTTTTGAAAATACCCTTTGATTTAAAACAAGAGAAATCATTATATAATCATTAGAGACGCACACCAGTAATGATCACCGCTTTTATTACT